TTAGCACTTCTAATTGTTATAACTTCACGCCATTTTGAAATTGATTACCATCGAATATTTGAGTTAACTTAAAAATTATGTGGGTAGGGAAAGTGTTTTATCTGTTTCCAAACAGTGAAAGGGGAACAACTTAAAGCAACTTACATTTTTAAAAGTTGAAATTAAATAGATTTCATCGCTGTCTCCTAAAACATCACGTGATAGAAAATTTTAGTAATATTCTGGAGAGGAAGACAGGCTAGATAAGTGCAAGTTAATACCAGAAATCATGTCGTTAATCAGCCACTGATGTCCTTTTTACTTTCTACAGACATTTTTTTTTCATTCAAATTGGCGTCCCCTAAAAAGCCAAATTCTAGGTTAATTTTGTGTCCGGAAGTCTTGAAAAGTCTTTATTAACCGAAGATCACGCATCTAAACTTGAAACCAAGACGGGAGATTACGTATTTAAGGCGTTTGTAATTTTTATATGGCCCAGATCAGTGTTACGTCTAAAGTAACAAGTTAATTTGCAATATCTAGATATGCGGTTGGATGAAATGGAGGTTGAAATCGTTGAGGCTTCTTGACGAATTCTCGATTTTGATTATCTTCTTCCCAAACACCTAATGATTATTTGGTTGCAATTGTATTTGTTACCAACATCTTGCAAGTTCCACGATTGTTACTTCATAATTCTTTCCAAATTTGGGTGTGTTCATCATTGTTCTCCTCAGTTTTAATTGGCCTCCGTAACGTAAACAACAAATTTCTACATACTTGCTATCATTTTAAGATTTCGTGGTTTTAAATCTGTACTTGTTTCATAAGGCTGTTGAGTTTCTCAAAATCCCTGACATTTTCTTACATTTTTTTAAATTCTTGTACCACAAATTGCGCATTTCCAAGCTTAGTAAAAAAAGCCTGCACGGCAGTTCAAACCGTACAATCTAAGGAACTGACAAGGGTGGCTATTTTCGCAAAATGAATTTGCAACGGGTGACTAGAACATCGGAAAACCTAAGCAGTCTGTAAATCGTGTTGCAGGATTGTAACTTTAGTTAGTTGTACCAAGATACGACTTCATAGCAAAAAAGAAAACAAATGATTTGAGGCACCAGGTTTATTTGGGTGGTTGTGAAGGACTGAGAATATTCCCATTTGTATCTATAATGTTAGCGTCGGTAGTGCAAGGGCACATCGATTTTTTTTCGGCTAAAGATTAAACCCCTTACATGCGAAAAACTCCACTCATTTCCAGGCAGACGTATTCAAAGTACATATGTAGACAAGTTTTCTTATAGTTTTGGCAAATAACTAAACAAATGACTTGACTAAGCTAACTGAATCCTGTGCTGAATATTTACTTGTCCTCTTCACACTAACCAAATGTCTCTGTTCGTATAAATGTCCTTTGGCGACCTATATGATAAATATCAGATCCCCTGTGTTTACAAAAATCAGATCGAGCTATTCTGTCCCAACGTTCGGCACAAAGTGCAAGCGAGATCAACTCCCTTCATACTAAGGGCAACGCTAATTCTGGGATAGTTTACAGAATGCTAATGGTGCCATTTCTCGCGGTACTTAGCATGTAAACTGTTGTTTTGTCACATGCACGAATCCAATTGTTATGATAGAGTTCAGTTGATTAGTAATAAGGTAGTAATGAATCCGAATAACCTGAGACAGTGTTTTCCAGTTTGAAACTTACGTCACGAAGGTTTAGATTACGACCTAAACTTCGCGTCTGCGTGGAGAGTTAAATAAATTTTAAAAGTTAAGATGCGCATCTTAATATACAAAATAGATCGCTTGTGGATATCTAGTCGCATGTCAACTTTGTGCTTCCCATAGGCCATTCCCTTGAAATTGCCCATTTTAACTTATTGGAACCATTTCACGTTACGACAGCTATACTGGCTTGATGTACTTTCAGAGAACACGACCCGGACAACGCAATTCCTCATGGAAGTTATCTACCAAGTTTTCTAGGCCAAGCTATGTGTACGCAGACTTCAGGGGGTCCTCGTTTGTTTAAAAAAATGCCTTCGACATCTATACCTGCTACTGTCGTATCAAAATCTTCCTAACCACTGAAGACTCGCATTTCATTTTCCGCTATGACATTACATAAATGGGTCATCTGCATTCTTCTTGCTTGACACTGAAAATAAGCGGTTCATCTAGCCACCATTCTGTGGAGCCTAAAATCCTGTTCTTTCTTCCATTTGTCGCTTATTCGACCTCTTGGAAACCTGACGCGTATACTGGTTACACTGCTTACAAGGTTGAAAAAGAATCAATCATCTGCTTTGTAGAAACTGCACGCAAAACAGCTGAAATTGCTGGATTTCCTATCTTAGCTTGCCACTATACGCGAATCATTCGTCATCTCCAGTTAGGACTTGGTTTAATAAAAGTTCGTTCTGTTGAAGCAGCATAAGAAAAGTAACGTATGGAAACAAGGTTCAATGTGCTCTGTCCTGTTAAGACGTGCGGAACCCAAGCGCCGATCTCTGAAGTGCATCCAAGTTCTTTTAAATCACCACACACTGCTGATTTGTCAACATTTATTTTCCTGGCAATCTCCTCAGTGCCAATCGGCGGATTACTGTCATACACTAAATCACGCATTAAGTCATTAATGACGCCGGAAGGTTGGCCAAAGCGATGCGCGCCAGTTGAACTGAAACACCACCGTGAAATGGACCAAGTCAGAGTTTAGCTGACCTGAGAGCAAGAACACGATCTATGCAAACGCCTTGAATCTCTTTTGTCGCACTTTCAATTCTCACTCCCATTTTTTTTCAAATTTCAATTAACATAACATGAGACTTCACCTTGATTACCAACCCCGCACGCAAATTAACTTAAATAATTTGTTTTTCCGTGTTATCTTGACTTACAGCACTTAAACGCCAATGACTTGATTTTAAAGAATAAGACTACCTAGGAAAATCAGGTGCTAACTTTTGCAGTCACCTAATATTCTGTTTTGGATTGCTAACGCTATCTACTACTAGCATCAGCATTTAACATAGAATACTGAAACACACCTCCTTCTACAACCTGCTTGGGTAAAAGCAAGAACACATGCAAAGGCGTGCGATTCACTAGGGAGAATCGTTAATTCATTGTAGACATGATCACAGGGGAGTGGGAAATGCAGGATGCACCGAAATGTGCGATTTCACGTCAGATCAGCACAGAAATCTAGCCAAAAACGCCCAGCATGAGTTTGAAAATTGATTACAAAAATATAGACATCTTAAAACCATTGAAGAAAGCACAGTGAAGGTACAGTCAGGTTTTTGTCGGATCGTTCTGGACAGGTGTGGGACGTGCCAGCCTCACGAGGTTTCTTCGACGAACGAGGATGGAGCAGGAGGGGCATCGTCGATTGCCCTACAAGACGGGGACAGATGTGGTGTGGTAAACAGCAGCAGTGGCGGGCAACCCCTGCCAGATACACTAACCACATTCAAGCGGTGGGATTTAGGCTTTGGGCAGGTTGATTCGATTCGAACAGGAAAAAATATTGGCTACTGGTGTCGGTGTGGTCAGCAAACCGTTTTTTTTTCTCGGACTAACTATTAATAGTGCAGAATTTGCGTGTCCGAGTGACGTCACATGTGTGCAGTGCTTAGCAGAATCAGAATAATGGATCTTTTTTAATCAGGAGTCAAGTTTAGACCTCAGCGGTGTCGAAACGGTCACAGTGGTAAAACTAGTCTGCCGTTAATTAGGCATGTCAGGCGACTTCACAAAAAGCTTGATTTCCACCCTCAAATGTTGAGTTGAATGACAACCTCTGCAGTTAACTTCTGGGACCTATACCACGACTGAATTATGAATGAATCAATGGTGGCCACTTAAAGGAATGCTGACAGGTGTCCAAAAAAAGCACTCCAGCTGCTGGGTAGATGTTTGTGGAGGAAGAAAGAATACACCATAGGGCATTATTCTTTTGGCCGCTTTTTACCGCAATTAGCAACCAACGTCCAAAAGTCAGAAGACCGCGAAGATTACTTGCGCGCCGTATCCAACCAATTAGCGAATAGATACATGCGTTTGAAAACCCGAAAGACCCGACTTTGTCCCATAACTTGCTTCTAGAACACAAATGAGTGAGTTGAAATCGATTAGACATGTCGGTCGCTGCCGAGGCAATGCGGAACCCTCACATTCAACCAATTCAGTTTCACAATGCCGTGAATCAGGATGGCTTCAGAGTGAATGCCACAAACAGATTTCAACAGACAACATTCAAAAGACCGTGGTGAATTGTGGTGAATCTAATGCATCCGTTTTGTCGCCGCATTCTCCAACTCACTGCTCCCTTTCCACAGAGTTCCCGTCTGGCCGTATACTCATCCATCTCTCCACGGCCATTGGTACTTGTACGAGTTTACCCAGACTCTAGCGGCCAACAACCACGTTAGTAATACACCAACTAGAAAACGCACTCGGCAGTACAACCAGGTTGGGTTGTGTGGTAAAAGGTAGTGTCTATGTCACCCCTGGCCTCCTTCTTGCCTTCTCGCGTATCTGTGCCGGGTGAACGGGCTTGTTGTGAATCGTGTTTAGTCAACCCCTTAATCCGATCGCTCCGCCTCCGACACAGGGCTCCCCTTTTTCGCAGCATGGCGCCAGCCGCGCGAATCCTCAACTCCCTCCTCATTCACACGAATATCTCTTTTGGATTATCCTCACGCCTAGGTCTCGATGTTAGGGCAGTTATGACTCACACATCCGGGGTATAAATACACACGCGCAAACCCCACACACGACACAACGACACCAACGTGGTTGAGCTCTGAAGTAAACCATTGTGTCCTATCCTCTCCGGTCTTTTTCTTCATTGCGAGTATCAGGCAAGGGTAATCGGGCCAGGGTTAATTCAGTGGCCCTGCCGTGGTTCAAGACCACATGCTAGGGCCCACAACAGACTGATTCCACACCGCGGCCACGGAGTTGTTCAAGAACACATATAGGGGCCTTCCACACGACCTTGGGTCTCAAGAAAGCACAGCCTGGAAGCAGTGGTCGTGGTGTTCCAGTGAGTCTGTCGCGGAAACACTGCCTCCAGCTGCCAACCACATAAACAAGTCAATAGTGCGATCAACAAAGACAACTGTGTATTTCAACGCTACCTGTTCAATAATACTCCGCCAGCAGGGGAAGCAGCAGATGTGCGAGCAAGGGGCGCGCAGTGGATCGGGAATCGGGGTCTTCTTGCAACGGGCGCACGACAATGCCACTGCTAAAAGGCACCAAGGCACTCATTAGACCGAACACGGGAAACAGCTCCCAAAGCTGGACCTCTTTTGAGGGCTGGTTTAGCCTACACCCTATTGGTGGACTCCAGCATTACATATAATTCAAATGACTGAGTTGGGCAAACTAACGCTAGTTGATAGCGCTAATTAAAGGTGCGAAGTGCCTTGATTACGTCATAACTGCTAACCAAAATGAGTTGATGGTGAGCTATAAAGTTATTTCCGCTGGTAAGGGCTTCCTGTACACCCTTGGATTCTTCAAAATTAGCTTACTAAGAGGCCACTTCAAACTGAGCTAGGCCCGAAGCTTAATGTGTCTACTTGCGCGTGCAAAGGGAAGCACAGCATGCGCAAGAAAAACATCACGGCAAAAATGAACAACAGCTTCAAAAAAGGCACCAAAAGAGAGTCGCACCCTTGGAAGACGACGACGGCTTAGCAACTTCGGAAGACGCGGAAACCGCTGGCGAAGGCCCGCCGTCTTTCGAACCAGAAGCAGTCGCCAGGCCAGTGAGTCCTTTGCACAGTTCTGCGTACCTCGGCTTCTCACTTTCCCGCACGAAAACGATAAAATCTAGGATTGGAAACAAAATTACACACACATGGGAGCATAATTCAAAACACTGCCCCGGGTGTCGACTAGGCAACCAGCGGGGAGCACTGGGATTGCATCGGCTACGGCGGAAACCCACTCAAGCCAAGCAAAGGTCACGTGACTGTCGGCACAGGCGACGCAAGAAGGCGTGGTTCGGGGAGAATTTCGAATTCCTTGCTTGACGCACTTTGAGCATCTTACAAAAAGAAACATGCTAAGCCCCACTTGCAAAGGACGCAGCGTAGCGTATTCTACGTATTGCGGAGGCCGTACAAAAGAGAATCTACGGCATAGCTAAGCCGCTCTACAATAATGCCCTAAAACTGTTAACCACGAAATGTATGCCTAGTTAGGCAAATCCTACTTTCAATCCAACCAAAATGGGCCTTTTTTAATTACCAGTGATTGCATTATGAAAACTACTCATGAAACCCACAGTAGTACCTACAAATGGGCGAAAACTGACGTGTGCAAAACGTGTGTACAATTGTGCAGTTCGATTAGCGTCCTGTAGCACTACCCACGTGTTCAAATCACCAGATAAACCTATTAAATTAGGTCGAGAGTTTCGGGTTTTAGTTAAATTACGGAATTTAACGACATTTAGAAGAGGCGGGATGTGGTAATAGCAGGAGATATGCTTGGTGTGTGTGGAGCAATGAGACGAAAACAGTTACAAAGAAGTTTACCACAAGTTGTCAGCCAAAGTCAGGCCTTTCAGCAAGTTCCGAAGGCATTTACCGAAAGAAACAACTCCCAAGGGAGCTAATACGGCCACTTGGAATGCGGTGGACGTGGAGGAAGGCAGTCAGGGTCTGACTAAATTTCACAAAAAGGCACCGAGGGACAGCGACTGTTTACAGTCGCACAGCACACACACACACACCCCACGGACTGATTATTAATAGGCATACATAAGCGGCGTTAGGAGTAGGTGACAATCCTTTAGTGCACTTGGCATAAAATAGGTAACTACTGCAATCCTCGATTTGATGGAAAAAAATATTTCCTTTAGTTGGCAAATTCAGTGTTCGCCCACTCAAACACAACAATAAGGAGCACAATACGTAGTGAGGACAATCGACAATAAGGACGAGAATACAATAAAAAGCGTCATTGGCAATGAACATCCCCCAAAACCTCAGCAGCGATTGTATTGTATTCTCGATTTATCCGTTGTTTTAATCTTGATTCACATTGAGCGCCACTTACAACCGACACACTGAACGAGCGGTGGCTATGTGAGACGTTACAATGTCTTATATTTGTTATCCACATCGCTGTGTTGACGTTTTTTTGTCGTAACGCTTAGTGTGTCCTGGACAGTTATCGTTTACAACAATCTCCTTAAGTGCCGCATTGTTTGAAAGACAATCGCATAGGCGGTGAATCGGGCGCTCACAACGTCGAAGCAAACACTACCTCAAGCAGGCGGAAAACAATGTCCCCTGACAGCTGCTCACGCCTACATTGTTGTGAATCGTGTCGATTCACGCTCGCTAAACCGGTCACTCCTGTCTCCGACACACTGCCTCCCTCCCCCTTTTTTACAGCATACCGCCAACCAAGGGGAAATTGGGTTAGCGCAGATGTTTGCCTCACGTGTGATAACAACCACGCCTGGGTCCCGATGTTAGCCCATCTATGACTCATTCTGTTTTCCACTTGTGAACAGACACAAGTGGACAACACACACAACAACGACAACAACTTGTCTCGGCTATCAGGGTAGTGTGGCGGGGCGAGCAACGGCACATAAAAAGAACAACACTGGTTGAATTTAAACGTTGACGATTGCATAGGCCGGACAAAAGCCTTACCCCTGAGCAGACCAGGCGCGTCGTTGGGAATAAAGAGGTTGGCCAATGAGGTGAAGACCCGCTGGACTGCGGACAGTCCCTTCTCCTTCTCACTCGCTTTGTACGTCAACAACGCGGACTGGCAAAGAAAAGGGCGTGCACAGCGTTTCAGAAAACAGGGAAGATGGCAGCTCACCAGCCGCATCACACACCCACACAATTGGAAGTTACCTTAAAGTCCTTAAACGATCGATTTTCCTTGTCCGGAGAGGCATTTTGGAAGAGGCGTTTCACGGATTGGAGGTAATCAGCGGGCGACAGGCTTCCACCAGTCTCCGGATTGATGTGCTGCTTGACTAACTTGATACGCTTTGCTGCCTGGTGGTGGTTCAGGAGACGCGCCTCCAAGGCTGCGTCGCCGTCGTCGTCGTCACGCGGTTTCCCTGCGACTAAGTCGTCAGAGGCAGGACGCTTAAACGGTTCGGCTGGAGTCTAGGAGCAGGATAAACGCAACGGTAACGGGGAAGTTTGACCAAGAAGGACATGGGAAAGGTGTATTCGGAGAGGGAAGATAACGAGAATGTTAACTGCAGGTGAGAGTGGCGAGAGTAAGTCAAGAGGGAGCGAGCAAATTGAGAAATGTGGAGCGGGGAAAGAAAATGAGAGCGAGGAGGAACAGACGGAAAAGGAGGAGGAAGGAAATAAGGAGGAGGTTAGGAAGAGGAGTGAGAGGGAGGAAAAGGCAGAAAATGGAGAAAGAGGGGGAGAAGAATGGAATGAGGGGCGGAGGTAGGGGAACGGGAAGAGGAAGACGTGGAGGAAGAGAAGAAAGGGGGGAGGAGGACGACTTGGTCCGAGGTTATTGGCCGCCATGGAGAAAAGCAGACGCACTTTGAGACTCACGTTTTATGGTTTAATCACACTCTTCAGTGTGATTAAAACAGGAAATTACAATCAGGATAGGCACGTGGAACCTCAAAAAGCGACAAGAACGTTGAAATTGGGGAAATTTAAACCGTTTCTAGTAACAACTGACAAATCGAGACAGAAAAATTAACAAAGCTTACCATGCTACTCTTCTCAATATTACAGTAGACACGATCCAGAACAGAGTTTGACGAATTGGTGGATTCCTCTTTGGCCTCGGCAGTCACAGAACAGGCTTCTGGTTGCTGAGGTGTATAACTCTGCAAGAAATCGCCGGTCACACCTCCCGGGGCAAGACTCTCGGCCCACGTCGAAATCTACCACAGGAAAGAAAACAAAGAGAGAAGCCGAGGTTAAAGCGAGCCACCCACCAAGGGCGGTTTTAAGGCTAACACGCAATTTACGTGATTTGATGCGCAGGGGAACTGGAACCCATCACCAGGGCTTTTGAGCGAGGCGAGAAATTGGCGTTTGAGTGAGTTTGGAGCACACGATTGCCCCGTCATCGTGGCGGTCTGACTGCCCGTCAGTTTAGACAGCAAGGCCGGATACTAAGGCGAGGAAAAAGAAAGAGTACGAGGTGGGCATGGGGGGGGTGGAAGGTTTAATCGAACCCGCGCACGCTACCTTGGACTGTGCCGACCGGAAGAAGTCGGAGGTCTCCTTCATGGCAGGGCCGAAGGTGTTGTACACCCGCACACCGGACCGCATCCACACGGGAAGGTGGGAGCGCGCGTCGGGCGAGGCGAATCGCTCGTCGCACAGAAACACCGCGCCGTAGTCGCGCACGTGGCGGATCACTCTGTCAATAGAGTAGCGAGGGGAGGGTTCAAGTTTACTGTAAAAGGGTAGAAACGTCCCTGCACCGTGGCTAAATTGAAGGCTTAGAAGCCGCTAACAGAATGCACAAGGTAACCCCTTTAAAGTCTGGTTCGCACAAATCTGTTATGCATACGAATTTTTCAAAAAAATTATTCAGAATGAAAAAATCGGAAACGACGAAATTAATCTGGGAAACATTGGTCATCGTTTGCTATGACCTCGCGCCATCTCTCTCAGTTAACGTACGAAAGCTGTCACGAAAGAGGCATTTAAGTCATCGTCGACGGATGTACGCACGTCGTCCAGCGTTTCAGGAACTGTTTATCCACAAAGACGGGCTGCTGCTCTTGCATTGACCGGAACAAATGGCACTCGGATGGGGTCAAGTCCAGGGAAGAGGCCGCGTATGGCAGAACTACCCATCTCAAGTACAAGAGGCCCTTCTGAATGACGCAGGCGTTGACGTGCAGCAGTGCGACTTGCCTGCTTCCTTGTGCAGTAAATGGGCTACATTCTGAACAGGTTCCTCACTCAATTACTTCAATTGTTGGCTGCAGCGTTCCACA